GGCTTGCGATATGCAGGCCGTCGGAATAGCTTCCTGTCTTTATACTTTTTGTGCCAGGTACTACTGCAGTCCGCATGAGATCATGAGGGAAGATTGCGCATGATTGCTTATTGCAGCTTTTCCGCGGGACCAGAAAAGTTTGATTATACAAACGTGAGAGGAAAAGGAACAACCAAAGGCAAAAACCCTGTGCAATTGCTTAGGCAGGTTTTCAGGCTATAGCTGCTGATTCTTAGGCCATAGTTTCCAAAGCTTGTCAGAAAAATGCCATGAAACTAACAGCAGAGCGCTGAGTAGGTACACCGCAAGACATTGGTGCAATCTACAGTGATCTCTCTGGCTATGGTCTGTAACCTGCTCCTATCTTGACTACCTTCCTCACGACCGCAAGATCTAAAAGGGACCCATGCGCCGGCCTGTAGCTTGCTCAAATCCTGCAGGCCAAGCCCCCAGAACGCTAGTTAGACTGGGTTGCTCCGAAGGAACTTAAACTAAGTTACGGTGAAAAGGAAACCCTACTATTTATTATATACCCATCTTATTTGTAATTGAAGATAGATAGGACGTCAGTCCACAAAGGCCTCTTTTCAGGTCCTCTGTTTATATACGTATTGATGCTTGTTCATTGTGGGGTACAGGACGCCATGCACATGCTCATTTTTGCTACTTGAGCTCCGGGAATGTGAATCTTTGCTGGTTGTCCTCAGGCCACATATTCCAATCCTGCCATGCTATAATGGATTGAGGACATGAGGCTAGGAAATTCACTCTTTAGGGCAGGGGATTACTTGATGAAAGCAACCTCATGTATAAACTTTCAAGGCACATAGAATATTACTAGTAACAGAAATAATGACAGCAACTTGCGTGCAGGAGCTCCACCCCCTGAGTTATATCGACCCTACAGGCCCTGAAGCCCCTATGAACCCTGAGCGCGCAAACGCCTAGGCAAGTGCCTTCTTCAGGTTTCGAGAGGGACGTCCCATCCTTTCATCTCAGAACCAAGCTCCGCCCCTCCAAGAGCTAAAAGCTGTGCAAAAGCCATCAGAAATTTCTAGGGTTAAAGGCAGTAAGCTTTGCTACCCTACGCCTGACATATCCCTGTAAAACTCCCATGGTCTGTTTCATGTTCCATTTGAGTTTGAGCCTGATTCTCCATTCCACCAAGAATCTGTTTTTTTCCGAGAGAAGCCTTTGGAGGGCGACCCTAAACCCTCTATCTATGCATTCCCTATAACTCCTTTACACGAAAACCCCCATTAGATTAGAAAAGGCTGTAAATGGTCTAAAGTCCAAAGATGGGTCCTGAGCCCAGGGGTCCCTATATACCTGATAGGGGTTTAGGGGTTTAGGATTTTGGGGTTTGGGGTTCGGGTTTAGGGGTTCAGGGGTTTAGGAGTTTCGGGGTTCCCCTATCTGTAGGCTTAAAGGTCCCTACTGTGGATGGCAGAATCTTGCACCACACCACCCTACATACCCTTGCACCGCCCTGCATACGTTACAAAAAAAAGATTTTGGTGTGATATGGAGTAGATTTCCTCCACGCATCGCTAAACCCTACATCCCCTAACTAGAGAAGTCTTCAGAGAGTATATCCCGAACTCTTTCTGTCCCTAAATAACCCGATATTATCTCCTATAATCTCTTGAAGGGGACCTGCAGTATCTTAAACCCTAATCCCGAAACCCCCAAACCCGAGACCTAAACCTGAAACCCTAAATCCTAAACCCCCAACTCTGAACCGCAAACCCTAAGCCCTAAACTTATTAACCCTAAACCCCAAATCCTAGACCCCACACCCTAAACCCTCGACCCCAAACTCTGAACTCCAAACCCTCAGCCCTAAACTTACAAACCCTAAACCCCAAGCCTTAAACCTTAAATCCTAGACCCCAAACCCTAAATTCTAAGCCCTAAACTCTAAGCCAGAGGGTATCAGAGCTTCGAGAGGCCGATCCGATTGTACGGCTCAGGCGGTAGCGTCTCAGACCCGCGGGGCTTCATCCCGGCCTCTCGGCTTAGGGCTTAAGGGTTTAGGGCTAAGGGGTTTAGGGTTCTAGGGGTTTACGGGTTTTTAGAGGTTTAGGGTTTTGGGGTTTAGGGCTTAGGGGTTTAGGGTTTAGGACTTAGGGTTTGGGGCTTAGGGTTTAGGGGTTTCAGGTTTTAGAGGTTGAGGGTTTAGGGGTTTTAGAGGTTTAGGGATTAGGGGTTTAGGGGTTTAGGGTTTTAGAGGTTTAAGGGTTTTGGGGTTGAGGGTTTAGGGGTTTAGCGGGGGTTTTAAAGGTTTAGGGCTGTTTGGTTTGGGAGGAGGGCGGGGGCTGGTTGAACATGAGTATGACGCGAGTTTGGATTTGGGAATTCGGGGTTTGGGTATTTAATTTGGGGCCTCCCAAAGACTGTCTGGGTCTGTCTGGGTGAAGGGCTGCAGGGTTTTGAGTTTCGCCTTTTTGGCTTAGGATATAATTACATAAGGTTTTGCAATTTCTGGTTTCGGGGTTTCAGGTTTAAGATTCTCTGCTGGGATTGTACGGGCCTGTTGGCAAATTGAAGATTACAAGGACGCCCAAGGCCCTCCCGAAGCGTAGATTTAGGGTTTGGAGTCTAGGGCTTGGGGTTAGGGTTTAAACCCCAAACCCAAGGCCCTAAACCATATAAACCCAACCCTAAACCCTAAACCCCTAAACCCTAGGGCCTGGGGGTTCGGATTCAGGGCTTTTGCACTTGTGCTTCGCATTTAGGAAAGGGAGCTCCAAGTCTGATGGCATGTGGAACAGCTTTGGAAAAGCAATGTTTAGGGTTTTGGGGTTTAGGGTTTAGGCTTTAGGGAAAGCATTGTTTAGGGTAGGGCTACCAATATAGAAGTCTCACTACTACGTGATACGAAACTTACGAATCTATGTCTCTGGTTTGAACACGTTCACCACGTCCCGCCATCATGCAACGAGGGCCTGCTGACCGTGTTCTGGCTTTTGCAATTACTTCAGGAAACCCCTTCTCCCATCTACCAGAAGCGCAAAGAATCCCAAGCTGCTCATTTTGGGTGGATACTTGAAACCCTGCCACGCCTTATATACATATATATTGGTTGTCAGGGGATCTTGAGGGAGTGGTGCAAGATTTCCTCTACGTATCCACCGTAGGGTCTCCCAAGCCCCGGATCCCGAAACCCCAAATCACTAAAAAGGGTCCCCCGTAAACCCTAAACCCTAATCACTAAACCCTAAACCCTAAATCCTAAACTCCAAACCCCCATTCCCAGGCCTTCCGGTAGATGTCGTCCAGCAAAGCAGAGTTCCGCACCGTATCTGAGGGGCCCTTGCTGATGTACGACCATGGCATGCCCATGTTCCTAGGTTTCGCGTCTGGGATGTAAGGCTTAGGCTTGGAGAATTTGGGGTTGAGGGTCTAGGGCTTTGGGTGTAGGATGTGGGGCTTAGGGTTCAGGATTTGGGGATTTAGGGTTTCGGATCAAGGTTTAGGATGCCAGGCTTCGGATTTCGGAGTTATTAAGGTTTAGGACTTCCAGGAAGACAGCTGAAGACAGGATCTCGGGAACACGGCATCCACGATGCGAGCATGCTCGCATTGTCTTGAAGAATTCCGAAACCAAGCAGTACTGTTAACCATGACGTATGGTTCCTACGGCGTGGGGCAATAAAGGGAATATTATCTCTATATAATCCCTACATGATATATATGTATATATACATTCATTCCTTCATTCCCTACGAACCCTAAACCCTACACCCCAGTGTATACTCCCTTATTCCCCAGTGACCTCCAGTAAGTAAGGGGGTAAAGGAAGTCTGGCTCCACACGAGAAGGCTTTGTGTTTACCGCCACAATGTGGAAAATACGGAGAACAACCCTACATGACCTCAGCATGCACGAATACACCATAATCTTACTGGAGCCCAAGGGGGAGTGGCTTCAACCTCGATATATGACCTCATGCCGCTTGAGAACTATGTCTCTGCCGTGCCTCCCGTAAGCCTACCCTCAACAAGCTTGCTGGTGCCTAAAGAGTGAGGGAGCGGATCCCGGTAACTGGCAACATATGATCCGCTAGAAGAGTCCCTAGTTACACCAATCAGTGAATCGTTGTTTCATTCAACAGGTCAATCTGGAGGATCTGAAAAGTATATACCTCCCAGGGCTTCTTGTCAATAATAGGATTCTGGGTTGTACTTTGAAAGCCCCATAAGCTCATGAATAGGGAGTCATCATTATCCCGGATAGGGTTTCTCAATATTAGGTGTGTTCTTTTGATGGTTGAACCAACTAAGACTATACCCTCCTGAACATACTATACCAAACAAGAGGCTAGAATCGTGCACATACACGCACACACACACACACTCTCTCTCCATTTTTATAAATATATACACATAGATATACACATACACACGCATATATATATATATATCTATAAATACTGATAGTCTTTAAATCTGTGTTATTTATGGGAGTTTCTGAAAATACCGCTGCGATCCCTAACCAGGGCCTCCGGAATCCCCGAATATGTCATCCTCATATATCTGTTGGGTTGACTAGGGCCACTCTTCTTGAGAAACTCCTAACCGCCAAGCCCATAAGGCTAACCCTTAAACCCTACACCCTTGCAGGAGACCAAGGACCATGGCAATGGGGACTTCCCATATAGGTGTTGAACATTACGTACCGCCTGCACCAAGTAACAGTTTTATAATAACGGTAGTATTGCAATATTAAGGGCTCTATACATTGACACTACAATGGCTATCCAACTGAGCATTGATTCCTGGACTATTCTAATGAAGAGCGGTGCTCCTGACTAGATCGAATTCGCAAGGCGAAACACTGACTCACCTTTTCTGTTCGCTCGGCTGCCCTGAAACCTAAGCCATGAACCCTGCTCTCTAAACCCTACGCCCTAGTATACATTCCCTTATTCCCTAGTAACCCTCACTCTAACCTCTGCACCCCTCAGCCTGGGACGACCTCCACTAGGGGCAAGGTGCTGTCCACGCTCTTGGTGGAAGACTTCATCTACGAAGGACATGAGCTGGTAGTAGAAGGTGTCGCCTTGCTACAGACCCACAAGACTTCCAAAAGTTAGGGGTACCTTTTTGAGGGTCCCCAAAATAAGGATTGTAATATGTTGGGGTCTATTTGGGGGTTTCCCGCACTACCTCATGAGCATTAGAATGCCCAGGTAGACTGTCACGAGCTACGTTTTTTAGGCAACCTCGTGCTATTGACAAAGGATTGCCGGGCTGTGATTTCTTAGGCTTCTACCTGCAGCACTCCAGGGAAATGAGCTAGACGTACAATCACTCTTAGGCTTGTAGGGTGTAAAGGTCAATCCTAACGGTAATATGAGCCATTGTCTAAACTCCTAGTATCCCCGTTAATACGCCCTAAGTAGTCCCCTATATAACTAAGGAGTTTAGACTATGGCTCATATGGGTATTTCTTTAGAAATTACACGACAGCTGGGCCTTCAACTTTGATGGCCGGCTACTTAGGGTAGACTTTAAACTTGTAGAGCACCAAAGACCAGAGACCACGTTTTGAAAGATCAGTCAGCGCCACACATCCTAGGGCGGCTTGGACTTTTTTTGCCACATGGGAGCAAACCTGATCTTTTCTTGGCCCCGCAAGCCGATGCCTTCATGCAAACCCTGGCCACTTGTCATTCCGATGCACACATTTTGGGTCCTGAAACCTGTATCCATGAAATGTGAGCCCTAAAGCCCAAAGCCCGTTGATCCTAGGGGAAATCGTCATTCCTGATTCTGTTCTTGGAATCTTGCATATATCTAGCTTAACTTGGGCTGTAATACGCGCGACAATTTGAAGCTTTAAACAATCCACCAAGACCCCAACCTTGACACATGAAGTCAAGTCTAGATGAGGACCTCCACACTACGCATGCCCTCAAATTCCAACAGCCTTCGACCCCCAGAACTCTCCTTGAAGGCCCAGGCACCGACACTGCTCAAGATTCAAGCTTCTCCCCCACCCCCCCTGCCCCCGCTAAGCCCCAAACCCTAAACCCCTTTGCGCATGTGCACAGACTAGGTTTTGGAGCTTGCATGTACAGAAGACCCTTAACATCCCATGGCCCATGAACTACTTCAAGTTCCCAAGTGCTGTGACAGGGAGGTTCATCCCTGCTAATGTAGGAGCCACAAACTGTATTGAAATTGACACAAGCCTGATGGTCTTAACCACAACTAAAAACGGACTCCGGGGATCTTGAACTTGTTCTTTACCCAGTTGTGTTCATCTTGGACGAAATTGTAAAATGTCTAGTCAACTGGAGACCCTTGACCTTAACCGCATGTAACTCCTATGGACATTTGCCTAAACCCTAAACCCTAAACCCCTAAGCCCCTAAACCCTAAGCCCTAAACTCCTATGGACATTCGCCACCAAGTAGCGGTTCACGGCGTTGTCTACCCGCTCAACGTAAGTCTCACCACTCCTAAGCTACACGATTGGCAGCTTCATACTGGGCATTCGGGGTTTAGGGTTAGGGCATTCGGGGTTTAGGGTTTAGGTAGTCTTTATCGTGGAACGTAGGGTTGAGAGTCCAACTCTTTTGACTTTATGCACTTTGAGCCAAGGCATCTCGCTTGGGCCAGGCTTACAATTTTGGAGCTAAGGAACAGGGCGGATTTCAGATAGTTTTTCCGAGGCCTGCAGCGACACTGTCGAATTCGAAAGGTCATTAACTCATCGTTCCCCGTACCCCTCGAAGCTCAAAGAAGAGAAAGTGGCGGCATAGAAAGCTGCCGCTCCAGCAATTTCCCGTTTCCTTTCGCTGCCGCAGAGGCCTCAGAGAGTCCAAAGCAGGAAAGTTGCATTCGGGGGATGTCAGTCGCGTTCAGGGGTTTAGAGGTTTAGGGGTTCTCCAGCAGCTGCATTCGCAGTAGTCCGTGTACGTCGCAAGCGCCTTCTGCTTGCATTGTTCAGCGATTTGTGATTTTGTTTGGCCATGCGCCGACTGAAGAACCTCTCCGAGCGCGTCCCTTTCGCGGCGACGCAGCGGTAGGCATGCAGCAGCTGGCAGGACAGCTTCATCTTGCAGAAAGTTTGAGGCAGCTGAAGCTTCGGCTTCTGTCTCGCTTCCACAACACTCACCCTCATAAACACAGGTGGACCACACCGGCGCATGAAGCACGGAAACGTATCCCTCGCCGCAGTTCCTGGTCAAATACCAATATTCCTCTCCGACCTTCTTCTTCACGCTTCTGCCACATCTGCGAGAGAGGAATATATGCACCGCCTGCTTCGGAGGTAGGCCCTGCAAGGACATACCCGCCATGGCATCCAAATCCGTTTCCTCCACAACTTTCCGCCTCCCTTTGCGGGGGAGGTCCTGCTCGATCTTTGACAAGTGCAGGTTAGGTTCGTCCTTCTGGTGGCTTTAACAGTGTAGCCGGTGAAACGTTGAACCTGGCCCCTCCTGTTTTGTCCAAAATCCAGCTCCCTTGGTCCGGTCGGCTCCTCATTGACTGCGCGCGTCTTCGCCCACGGTGCCCGTGATGAAGGTCCAACGCCGAAAGTCCCAGAAGCTGGCGATGCCAGGCGTGGGCTGCATGTCTGTTGATGCTTGGCGTCCATGCCGCGGAAGGCCCTACGTCAGCTACAAGCCAAGCATAGACTGCAAAGCGTGCAACAACAGTCGCCAATATGCCAAGCAGATTTATGAGTGGACGAACCTCGATACAGTCCGGCCCTTCATCTACACCCGAAGACAAGACCCAAAACCACAGCTCCATTCCAGATTACGGTCTCAGCTTAAGTTCGTGCATTGAAGGATTTAGGGTTCAGGGCTTTACAACAGCCACGGCAATTTGCGAGCCACGACGTGGGAATGGTCATTAATTTCTGTCGCCATTTACGTAAGTTACCATGCTTCTGCAGAATTCAATCACACATTTGGGTGCATATGTACATTGACAACCGTGGAAGCCGAAACACTACAAACGAGTCCCCGAACGACCCTAAACATTCCAAGCGGGCGGAGATCAACGTGGCACACTCGAGGCCGTTTATCGCGGCCAACGTTTCACCATGGCTGGTTGAATATGAGATTCTCTTCGCCTTGTTCGATTGAACATGCAGGAGCTGAGCCTTACCAGATAACGTCGTACTTGCAAACTCGTCATTGGCGATCACATGGTTCTTGTCGGTGTTGATGAAGTCATTCATCAGGACCACAATCACGCCCTCCTGAGCGTAGTTCTTTGTCGAAGTAGCGGCCGAGGCGTCATGTATAATGACGATGCGGTAGTACGTCTCCTGCAGCGGCCTGTAGTAAATGGCAGCCTCCTTGTCCTTCTTGGCACGTTCAATGAGAACATTGATGTCCTTCAGGTGTTGAACCCTGCCCTTGTTCATGATGCCCTGCAGGGTTGACAGCTCTGCCAGCAAATCAGGTCTCGTCAGGCTGGTCCACATCAGTCCGCCCACAGCGGAACGGAGCAAAGGGGTCTCCGCAGGTGTCAGTGGCCGATCGTCCTCATCGTCCTTGCTGACTGGAACTGGTTTCAGCATGGACACGTACTCGATCTGATCCACCTTGTAGCCATCTGCTGTGGAAGAGTATCGGCAGCCGCAGTGGTTGAACGGAAGGGACTCGCGAGTGAGCTTGCCAAACTTCTTGACCATTTGGTCAAAGGTTTCGTTGAGCCACGACTTGTACCCTTCGACTGCCAGATCGTCAACATGCGTAGACCTCGGCCAAGCACCCTGAGCCTTGGCTGGCCAGTACCAATAGTTCTCGTCGAAGTGGGACTGCTGTGCCCCAAGTTCACGGAGGAACTTATGAAGAAACAGCTGCCAAGCCAAAGGTGCCTCGGACAAGCCGTAGACGGGCTTTAGGCACAACAGGACGTACAAGTGGAGCTCGTTCTCAGGGATGTCGAAGCGCTTGCCAAGCTTCCTCAGGTGACGCCAGACGTTCCGAGGAGGATCAATGGCAATAAGCCTTTCCACCGTTTGAAGACCAAGTTCACGAAGGGCACGCCACAGCTCCTTGTAGGTGAGTCCCTTCAGGAACGCACCTGCCACGTCCCAGCTCTCGAGGACCTTGCCTCGTACATTGGCGGCTGACAGCAGGATGAGCCTCTGCGACAGTCTGGTCGCTGTGGTCGACCTGCTGCTCATCAGGTGCTTCCATGGATCATGGCAGCCACGTGCACACAGCCTGCTCTTCACGATCTTGCCGGCAGCAGTGCGCTTCCACTTTCTGACCCAGATGGCATCGATGACTGCACAATCCTTGCCAAGCTCGTCCCTTTTAACAGGTTTGAAGGCGTCCTGGTCAACGAACTGACCTACTTCCTTCAAGTCTCCCTCTTCACACTGCGGCCATATGTCAAACACGTCGTCCTCACCAATGAGGTCTGTCTCAGAGTCCACACGAAAGATACTGCCTTGTTGAAGGTCTGCCATCCAACCAGGAGTGGACATGCAGAAGAGACTCTGCTTGGATGATGAGGTAGCACACGCATGAAGGATCTCGTTAGGCTCGCAGTGGAAGTCGTCATCCAGTTTAACAACCCGACGGGCACGCGCCATGTTGAGGAAGGCTTCCGACATGTACTCGGAAGGTGGTGTGACAAAGGAAATGCGCTGCTTCTTTGATTCTGGGCCCAGAGTCACAGTCCGTGACTCCGGTCCATCACGCTTTGACGAACTGGGCATCAGATCCCTGGGTTCGTCGTTGGAGACCTGAATGGGCTCCTGCTTCATTGAAGGCGGTGATGAAGGAACCAGTGGTGATTCCTCCATAGGAGTGCCGCGTGGCATCCAGTCGGAGATCGGAGGCTCCACAAAGTCTGCCGCGTAGCTGTAGAAGTAGATGAAGCACATGTCCTCGCGCCCAGTCATTCTGATGTTGGTAGTGGCCATGTTCGTGCCACGAGGATTGTCAATGATGGACATTCGGACGGTATGCTTCTGCCAGGCCACCAGCGTACCTGTAGTTCCAGGAGGAGTCAGCATCTTCTTCAGACCGACGCCAACTCGGATGCCATGGCATTCCTTGTTCGTGAGGAAGCTGGAGGCCTTAACAATGTCGTCCAGGATGACTTGTCGCTGCTTTGGGTCCATGGTCTTTGGAAGCAACGACCACTTGCCAGAGGCATTCTTCAGATGACCAAAGGTGTCCATTCTGAACGGAACACATGCCTCCGTGCTCTGCATGAGAACTCGCAATGCCAGCCATGAGTCCAGTTCTTGTTGGCGTCTTGCGTCAGTTTCAGAAAGATGGTTAGCGTAGTAGGTTCCGCGGAAGATCCGCAGGTTCCGAAGTGGAACCAGGTAAGGACGCCCTTGATATTCTATGATCGCTGAGCCGTTGTCCTGGAGCTTCAACAACAGACCTGGGCCTCGCCATCCGAGACCATCGGCGTCTTCTCTGTGGAACTCGATCTCGGTGACCCCAGGCTGCATGTTCTCGGTCTCCACACGCTGAGGTCGCGTGTGTGCTGCTCGGGCAATGCGGTCCTCGGTGATTGCCTGCGCGGCTGCTGCCAGTGCTATCTGTCTCAGACGAAGGGCGTTCTCGAAGACTGACGGTCTGGTCATGTTGGCGCCTGTCACAGCCTGTATGCCATTGGCATCAAGGTCATAGAAGGGGAATGGCAGACTGCCTGTGACCAGCATGTGAGGTGTGTAGCCACCCAGGTTGACCGATGCGTTTTGTGCGAAGCCTGCCTCCGCCGCAATGTCGCCAACATTCACATCAAGACCAGCTCGCTCAACTTCTGCACGTATCTTGAGCATGTGCAGTTTGACCAGATCCGTGCGCTTCTCCACCAAGCCGGTGGTGGTGTGCTGGCCTTGCGCCTTGCCTCTGGTTGTGCCGGCTGGTTCGCGACTGATATTCAGCCTCTCCAGCTCTGCCGCAGCCTCATGCGACATGAGACAGGACTCTTGGTCGGAAACCAGGCGTCGCATTGGACCGAAGAATCGAAGCCAGTTGTGCAGTAGCACATGCAAAGCCGTGGGAAGGTCCCGTCCAGCGACTTTGGTGACCACCTTGTAACGAGTGGCCACGTCGATAAAAATGATGAACCATTGATCCCACAGCTGGAAATAATCTGCTTGAACTTCTTCTCCGAAGGTCATGGGATGCTTCGACTTGACCGCTGGCCTTGACTTCAGCTTGCTGTGCTTACGACAGATGGCACAGCCGGCCACTACTTCAGGTACCAGCTTCACCACATCTGACGGCATTCCGGACCTTATGAGCAGGGATTGCAGATCGCCAGCATTGGCGTGCCAGAACCTTTCGTGCAAACCCAGCAGAAGTCGCTTGGCCTGCTCAATGTCATTCTTGACCAATCGGGGAAGTCGAACAAGCACCCTTCGAAAATCGAAGTTCGAGCGCCGCGGTGGATCGATTGGTTCACCTGATGTTTCGGGCTCGACCGCTTCGTTGTCCTCGGCCTCATTGAGCTGTTCCTCGGTATCCAGCTGCTGCTCCTGTATCTCCGCGCTCTTCAGGACGGGATCTTGTTGACCATCATCATCTTCGTCAGGAGCTCGAAGTTGGAACCCTGTCGTTCCTGTCCATCGTCCTTGTTCAAGCGCTGCTCGTGAGCTGTCTCGGGAAGTCCATTCATCCCGAATCACAACCTTGGGCCCTGGCGTGTCATAAGGAGTTGCCATGGTAGTTCTTGATGAAGTCAACTCATCGAGATTCACCGGGCCCTCGTCTTCTCTAGGTGTGAACAAAGCAACTCGTGGTTGTACATGATGTCGTAAAGCGCGGCCACGATTGCGGTCAATCTCCCAGTAGTCCTTGTCCTTGGGAGCCGAACCGAAGATCGCAATGACCCAGTCTTCGTTGTAGGACTTGGCCTTGAGCTGGTTGTCGGTGTAGGTCCGCAAGTCTTCCATTGGCTTGATGGTCCATGCCTTGACTTCGCCTCGGATGATCATTCGAAGGGGAGCCGACTCCGTGCGAAGGAAGGGCATAGGCAATGGAAATGTCTCGGCATGCAGTGACGTGCAAACTCCTTTGAC